TTCTCATAAACCGTCTGCCCGATAACACACACACACACACACACACACACACACACACACACACACACACACACACACACACTTAAGTAAAACTTAACCAAGCTTCTGGGGGTCGGGGTAAACTTGCGATGAACAAGCATCCTTTTAAGCGGGAGGGGGGGGGGGATGGGAGTTCTAATACTCCAAGGGATAAAGTTCGGGTTCTGTCCCAAGCTCGCTGGCAAGAAACGTAGAATTGCAATTGTCTTCTAGAGTTCGTTGCGTAAATGCAGACAATAACAACCTTTCAAGGGCACTTTGAAGGCGATTGACGATATTTGATCGTAAAGTATCATGGGATATTTGATCTCAACTCTTTTTCGAGAATAACACCGAACAAACCTTCACTTGCAGGGTGAAACTTACCCGTGGTCCTTTGCTGCCAGGAGGTCCTTGAGGACCAGGGGCACCTGCTCCTCCCTACGGGAAAAGGATACCTCGATGTTCAATAACAATGATAGCAATAACAACAAAAACAACAACAACAACAACAACAACAACAACAACAAGAACAGCAAGAGTCAGGATGATAATGATACATTTACAGTAACAATAATAATATATAATAAAAACATACAACCGCCGTAAGAAAGCCTGAGAAAAGGCTGGGGTGGGGTGGTAGGGGGACGATTCAACCTGGGGAAGAAACAATACTTACTTCATGCTTTTGAAACCGGAGCTAATCTCGGTCGGATGGATTTTCAGGTGAGCTTACTTCACTTTCGTTTGAATTGCTAATGAGTTATTTACAGTACTAGGCTAATTAGCTTTAATTCCTTCGACGCCGGAAACGACAAAACGAGGACAAAAATCCCAGTTCCATATAGGTTTCATTTCTCTCTGGCAATCAGAATGGAGAAATTTACTTACTGACGGCCCTCCATCTCCTCTTGGCCCAGGAGGACCAGGAGGGCCTGGGGGTCCCTGTGGAAAAAAATAGGAGACAAGTTTCACTGATAGAACAACTGACTGCATCTACAAGCATGTTTTGAACAACACCATGTGACTTTCATATTAATTTGTAGGCGGCCTTTCACGTGGTACTCATTATCGTACGGCGCAAGGTGGTTCAAATTTTAATGAAGAGAACGAAACCCCCAATGTCTGACCATTCAAGTGAAAGCTACTGAGTAATTTTCCCGCGTGGTGGTGTTAATTATGTTATACTAAGCAGACCTAACTTTTAAGTCAATGAAGGTAACCCTGGCGCCTGACCTGGGAAGCATTTTCCCGTGCTTATGTTCATTGTAAGCCGTACAAGATAGTTGTAACTTTGAAGTCTGTGGATCAGATACTTCTGTGTGACTATAGAAATGAAAGCTAACGACAAGTCCTGTCATATGGCGAGCAGCACTCTTTGGTGGTTCAGATTACTTTCTGACCGAATAACGAAGTCCTGGCGCGGGATTAAGACTGAATAGTATTTTCAGGTGGTCTCGTTTGTTTACATTTAATCTAGGGGTGAATCATTTTGCATGAAATAATCAGTTTGATTCTCACCCGCCTGCCTGTCTCTCCTGGTTTTCCTCGAGCTCCAGGTCGTCCATCTTGACCCTGTTAACACCGAGGAAAAATAATCTCAGAGTAAGCTTGCCAGCCTCTGGGTGACTGTTTATTCATTTTCCATACCGATAAAGAACTGCGAAGGAAATTTTCTATTTCGTTTGTGATTAACTTTCGGAATACAACATACTGCTACAAAATCATATCAATCCGGCGTTCATTACCGTTCGTTTGTGTCTTAAATCTATTTATCCTGACTTTAATTTCTCCACTCATGTTTTGCTACTGTTATGTTTTAATTATAGTCTCTGAAAGTTGCAGAAAAGTTGACTGACATAATTATTATTATTACACGACTCGGGCAGTCAGAGGGCCAATAACTAAAATCAACCAATCAAAATGCTCTATTGCCGGTCCAATATTCTCTAAGTATTGGACCGGGCACTGTCCCGAATGGTCCCCAATGATACCGCACTTGTGTCCCTTTGAACTTCAGTCATATAATAAATCTCTTATTAACCAAGCTTGCTTGGGACCCTACTGGAAGAATATCAGCCCTCGGTCCGTACTGTCAAGACCTCACGCCGATATTCTCCCAGTACGGCCCTCGCGCTTGGTTAATAAGATATATATGATCCCTACTTTATTTAATTAACACAAAATACGATTTAACCAAAGCTTACCCGCCATGTCTCTGATTTATCACTATTCTAAACCTTAATTCTAGATAAGTTTGTGGAGTAATATTGAAACAAGTGCTATGCAATTCCAAGAGGTGTCAAGGTTGTTAAAACAAAAACTTCTACATCAGCTTAATGCTACAAACATTCAAGTAAACTAGGGGGGAAGGGGTGGAGGTCATCTGCGCTGGACTTGCATCCCTCCACTACTAGGACGAAGGTTTGTTCCTGATTCTGCGACGCGTTATGAAAACCAGGAGACACTCCACCAAGAGCAGCTAGACCTCTTAATAATGAACTTAGTCTTTAACAAAAATCATGGGGAAAAAAACGCATTCAATAAATACAACAAAAACTGGTGAGGAGACTCACAGGCTGACCAGCCAGACCTTGCTTGCCGTCGGCACCAGGCTCGCCAGGATCACCCTTAAAAGGGAAGGCAAAAGATAAATTAAAAAATCGGCTGCTTTATCGGTTGGGTGTAGGGGGAGCCTTTCTGTTAGAAATTTTGTAGGAAAAAAGGGCGATTAAAAGAAAGGCGTTTCTGTTGTCTTGTTTTGCCGTTATTTCCCTAAAATCACTGTAACATCGGATCTAACCTCCAAGCATCGCCCTCCAAAATGAAATACACAGTTTTTGTCGGCTGATTTTATGGTCGCCTATGTTACGATCACAAGGACCCTCTCATAGCGACTCTTTAAAAAGGAACACAATGTTCTTGTTCTATTTTGATAGAGGGTGATAATTTCGTGTTACGTGGTTAAACGTTTAAGAATAAAGCATATTATAAACGCACGACGTTTCGACAAATGAAAGTTAATTAAAACAGCTGATTTAATATATACTACTTTCAGCCTTTTAAGATGACTATAACCATACCTTTGCACCGTCCAGTCCTCTCTCGCCGTCTAGACCAGGTGGTCCCTCTGGGCCCTAAAAGGCGAGTACGAATTGGTCAGTGCAGTTTTCAATGAAGTGTCGAAATAACAAAGCCTGAGTAATCACGACGAGAAAATAAAACAAAGGTTAAAATTATCACCGCCAATGAGAGCTCAGTGTGCACAAAAGCGCGGGTGGTAAGTCACGATTTGCTCAAGTTTTGCATCTGATTGGTTGAAAACTGATGGCGGATTACTTTCGATACTCAATTGAAATTACTCCAAAATCTCTCATCACTAAACAAAGTAATTCAAGGCTAAAGATCGAACGTGTCGTGAACTGTATTAGAATTGATTTTGCTTGACTTGAACATGGTGAAGCAAAGTCGAGAGATAGGTAAGGAAATCTACAAGGTGATCGCGTAAAAGCTTTGGAAGACAGGATTAAAATGATGTATAATTGACAGTTCTTTGACAATTAAAGCAAGAGAAGTAGTAAAACACTCTTGACGTGAGGTAATAACAATGTCACCCACTTTTAAACCAGTAAGAAAGAGGGGTCAAGGGGTAGGGGGTTAAGGGGTAAAGGGTTGGGGGT